GCCCCCCCCTGCCGTAGCCTGGCTCCTCGTCTCCTGCAGCCGCTTGTCCCACTCCTTCTCCCGCTGGTCTACAAACACAGGTAGGAGACAGCATCAGCAGTGAGGGGCAGGGGCAGTGGGCACAGTCCCTGCCATGCCAAGGGTCCTGCCGGCTGCTGCCAGTCCGGAACCAGCTCATGGGATGGACAATGTCCTCAGCCTGACACAGCCAGGGGTGCAGCAGAAGACCCAACACACCCTCTTGTTTCACCACAGCTGGACAGCCCCGCTCCAGCACCCTGCCGGCTCCAACTGCAACGCCTCCACCAGAGTCCCGACCCTGGCAGGGGGGGAGGGAGGGGAGGGATGCCACAGTCCCCAAGTACCTCGCTTGCGCTGGCGCAGCTCCCTCATGGCATTCCGGATCAATCGCCGCTCCTCAAAGTCTGTTGTCCGATCCAGCTGCAGGAGGAGGCAGAGGTCAGCACCACCCCTCTGCCACCAGCTCAGGGTCCCCTCACCTTCCCCCAGGAGCTCAGCTGCAGAGGAGGTACCATCTTATCCAGAACATCTTCATCCTCGATCCTGTTGAGCTCCTCGATGTTCACCTTGCTCCTTCTCTCCAGCTCCCTCACTTGGACTTTCTCCATGCCATTTGGCAGCTCCGGCTCCAGCCTCGGTGCCTGAGACTGCTCCACCACCTCTGGCTCCATCTACAAGGCAGCACAGTGTGACTGAGCCCCTGCCAACTTGCCCCCCTCCCCTGCTGCTCAGGGTCCAAGTCCCCCATCACCCTGACACTTGCTCAGTGCCACGGGCAGTGGGGACCCTGAATAAGATGTGCCACATGCGGTGTAAGAGCTCACAGCTGGTAGGATGCCACAGTCATCCACGGTGACCAAGGCAGACAGGGGAGTGCAACATCCCCCGCTGTGGCACCCCCTGCCCCAGGAGGGCCCAGCTCTCTCTGACCTGCTCCCAGTCTCACTGCCAAAAGGTCCCCAAATATTCCCCAGCACCCATCACCGCAGGCTGCTGGGGCCCTCCAGGAGGCAGGGTCTGCCTGGGTGTTCCAGGCTGGGCAGTGCCTGCCGCCCAGCAGCAGGCAAGGTGCTGGCAAGGCCAGTGCACACCATTACAGCACACGGGATTTCCAGGGAATTAAGGGACTTAGCGGAGAGAAGACCTTGTGCAGGAGATCAAGAGCCTCCCTCGCATCTCTGCTCAGGATCTAGGCCAGCTCAGCCCCTGCCAGAGCAAAGCCAGGACACCAAGTCCCTTTCAGCACGACCCCCCAGCAATGTGTGGCAGGCAGCAGGCCAGGCCTGGAATAGGGCAGGGAGGCAGCAGGCAGGAGGTGCCGGCATGGGGCTGGAGCAGCTCTGCTGCACAGCTGGCCCCGTCCTGCGT